TGGAGAGACGTCTTCGTTCGGAAAGTGAGGGAAATTGACGTTGCTGTTGATTGGTCAATTTCCATGTTGGTGGTTAGAGATGGATGCTAGCCGCCCTTGAGGGAAAGTTGCTAGCGGGAAGCGTCGTTCGTGAGAAAAATAGATTTCCCCTATTTTCCCGTAGTTGGGACAAAGACTGTTTGTTTGTTTGAAGGACTTTAGTTAATTAAATCCTAAGATTTACAGCGGCTCCTCAAGCTAGCCAAACATGTACTGTGAAGATGCATTGACATCTAGTAATCATCTTGCTCGAAGAATAGGGTCTGCGTGTGGCGAGCCACAGGACAGAAAACGTTGGAATGTTTACTGTGGCGTGCCGCTACAGCTATTTCTTTTAAGGAGAGCTATAGAATTACTCCATCCCTATGTTACGTAAAAACGTTCATCCCGTAACCACGACTACGTTCAGCGACTTGTTGTCACCTCGAGCCCAAGCTCATTATCACAAATCTCGAACAATTATAATCGAGTTAAGTTATAGAGGCTAAAATATTGGGGGTTTTCCGAAGAATTCCGAAGAAAGGCTCCGGTGTCCTTTCATCTCCGACATATATAAAAACCTCAACGCAAATTAATGTGCAGCAAAATAAAAAATTATACTTATAGTATCGAATAACTCTTTTAAGTTTCTGGTAAGTAGGTATATCCAACAATACTTTTGAAAGAAGCACCTCAGCTATCGTGCCTGGCCCTGGTTAATTTCGAGAAAACTATACAAAGAAAATGAAAGCGTTGGTAAAGAATATCGTAAACTTTTTTCTGAACGAACTCTCCACTGCTACCTTGTTATGTAACATGTTGTAGTCAGGAGAATTGTATAAACATAAAGCTGGAGTTAATTGTAGATTCAATATAGGTTTAAGTTATTCCGCTGTAGATTTTTTCGGGCTTCTTCACTTTTAATTTTTTGAATATTTTTATTTCCTTTATTTTTTTATTCTTTTTATTTTTTGAATCTCTTTTATTAGTTCCAACGCGAGTGATTTGGGTGTGTGATGAGTATGTATTGTATACAGTGCGTGTTGTATGTACCGTGCTTATTGTGTATTTTGTTTCCAAGAAAATGGAGCATATATTGAACACGTACTGTAACATAAAACGATTGCTATTTTCGTTACAATTTTTCTATGTACAGCCTGAACACTTGTGGCGCGTGTGTGGTTTTTCTGTGTAACATGTAACAACAACAATAAACATTGTTTATATGTGTTACTATTTATTAATTTGAGGTGGTGTGTCGCGATAGGTGCGTAAGAAATACTCAGATGTTTTAACGAACAATTGCTTATTAAGAACGAATTAACAGTCAGAGTCAACAAATAACAATTAACAGATACGATCAACAAATAACTGGTAACAATTATCAAGTAACAATAGACAGCATGAGATCATTCGACGCGTTGCTATGCAATGGTACTGAGGAGTTATACATTTAACGGCGTAAGACAGACTGACTGCCCTTTTGTTCTGGATCGAACGGATTCTTCCCTTCGTTGCCCATCGATATCCCCCACTAACGTGCATCCATTAGCTGTGCCGCCGCGGCTGACACGTGTATGCTCTTTCGAGAATTCGGCGGAAAGAGCGTGAAGATATCGATGGTACATTGGGCATATCGGTGTTGCGCTTTGACGGTGTAACGTCAGTTCATATCAGAGACCAGGCCACACACCACGGACAGGATGGCATCCAGATGTCTGCATATCCTTGGCGCGCACCCTCAATAGTCTTAAGTGCCCACCAGGGGCCTTGACATTTTTATAGTTAAGGTCCTTCGGACCAAGCGAGTATTTCCTGTCTTAAATCTCTCTTTGCGTTTATTGTCTACCACGTGTTAGCTTAGAAAGTTTGTTTTCTCCACATTTGGTATGTTCCGTTGGCAACTTTCTCGCGAGGGCGGCTAAAACCCTTCCTGGTCCACCAACCGTCCCATTATCCAATCGGAGACGGTGTCTACTGCCCTCACTTCCTTAACCAAAATTGTCATCAACAAATCCGATAGTCCCGTGTCCTTAGACACACCCACCCCTAGCTTTCCTCAGACACAGTATCGTCAGTAAAACTTCAATTATTCTGTATCCTTAGAATAGTCAACATATCTATATCGGTCTCTACCCTTATAAGTCGCGTACTTAATGTATTGTTATAACTAAGTCTTACATAACGTAGTTGGAGTGAATTGTGATTTATGCTAATTCAGTGCGTGTTACATTGTGATTGGTGAATTCACAATAAAGGTTGATTAAGACAAAGTTAATTGTTGTGTTACGACTCAACTATATTTTATTTCCACCAATCAACCCTAAAAATTACGTGACAACGGCGTCGCGCTTTGTATCCAGAGCCGTTGGAAAGTTCCGTGGCCCATGCCGCTACAAATTATTTATAAACACAAAGGATTAGAGAAGAAATTAATCTTTTCTACTTGAAAATTTCATGAGTTTTATGTTGTTATGGATTTTAATTAGTAGACTGGTATAATACTTTTAATCTACGATTTTTCTCATAAAATGTTGCGCGGGATAGTTTACGTCTTCGAATGTCATGATCTTCCTCTCTACGACTTGTACCGGGTAAGCTGTTGCACACATATCGTTGATTTGAGAATCGCTGTGCAGCCTGATGGCTGACCAGGCAGCTGACCTATTCTCGTCCATGTGAGGAGGTTTGCATGCGTATAGGGGCATTTTAGGTAATTTTAACTGACAATAACTAAAAAACAAAACCGAAAACGCAATTTCTTTATTCTTGATTTCCATCTTTACTGTTCTTCAAAAATCACCCCTTAAATTCTTTTACACCTGTAGCCGAACACCCTCTATATTACTATACTTTATAGAATATATATATATATGTCGGGTGTACATTAAAATTAGGGTTAGGGGCGTAAAGCGAATCTTCGTTTGGATTACACGTCGTCGTTATGCAATAGAGAAGACATTGGCTAGTGCAAATACGATTACCATAGAACCGGACAAGTAACCGTGGTAATTAGATACTCGAGAGACTAATGACAATGATCCTAGGTTCAAT